CTTCCTGGATGCCATGAGCTGACAGCTTTCCTCTGTCACACCCTTCTGGAATAATGTTCTGTCCCATCTCAGGCACTAAGCAATGGAGTACATTGACTGACCATGGACTGAACCTCTGAAACCATGAATCCAAATGAACTTTTTCTCCTCTAAATTTTCTTGTCATGTATTTTGGTTACAGTGATGAAAAACTGACACATGAGGACTCATTACATGGATGTCTAGTTTTTAAAATTATTTCATGACTATGGTCTTAGACTTGGTATCTATCAACATCCTACAAGAATCCTACTCATCTCTTAAGGCATATGTAACTTTCAGCTGACTCTAGACATGTGTAAGCCCAAAAGTCTAATGGGCATCTCCAACCAGTGGCAGTGTCCTTTTGTAACTGGTGAACTGTGAGGATCCTGAGGTCTGTAGTTCAAATGGCAAGTGTGCATAGGTGGGACACTGAGAGGGGCAACCTGGGTTCCAGTCACAAGGGGGAGGCACTAAGGCACCTTATGGATTTGGGACCCAATTTAAAGGTAACAACCTTTTTGGTGACCTTGGAGTCAGAAGCTATCCATATCCCTGGATGAAAGATGCAAGAGTCCCAGTATACAACCAGCCATTCTTTTTCATTTATTAGGGAGGTATGATCAAAAGATGGCTATCATCTCCTTTGGAAAGTCCCTTTCCAGATTACATACACAGATATTATTTAGGAATTTGTTACATTTTTTCTCTGTTAATGGCCTACTCACTGGTGTTACCACGTGTGGCAGACAGGCAGACAGGCATCCAGTCACCTCTGGGTGGTGGACTTGTCTAGGTCCTCCAGAAGTATGTGGCCACCATGTTGGAAGATCAATTCTCCTTCCATGAGTCAGGTTTATTCCTAGTCATGGCTCGTCCACCAATTGCAGGTAGTCAGAGAGTTTTTGGAGCTTTAAGGGAGGATATTGTAAGTATACTGAAGCATCAATTTCACATGAAAGAAAACTAATTCTGATCATCTGAGTACAGGAGGATGCTGAAAACTGCATTTGCAATGAGAATTGCTGCACACCAAGTTCCCCCATCTGGACAAAAAGTGACAGGTAGGTATCACTACTTCCAAATCCTACCAGAGTGTCAATCTACCTGTTATCAATGGTGAGTCTCCAGGTACCTTCTACTTAAGCCACAAGGGATGATCCATTAAAAAAAAAAAAGTAGTGTCACAGAAAACTTCAGCTTCCTTTACCTCAGAATTGAGAGCAGTCATTTCTCTTTCTCCTGTAGGCTGCCATTATTGTTTTTGAGATATAATAGTACTAAGCCCAGACAGTGGGTAGGTTCATGGTCTTTCATGTGCCCCATCAAGGTGCCCATGACCACAGAGATATTCTTGTCAGGGATCAGGGGAAAACAAGCAAGAGTACTCAATAACAATATTCTACATTCCGTAATGGGCTCATGACAGTAGAGGCTTGAAAAATCTCTAAAGCTTAGTCATGCCTGCGTAATGGCCTCAGTTCCCCGACCAGACAGCATTGTCTGTTTCCCTTTCACTTTGGTACTATCTGCATTTTCATGTCCCAAAGTTTGGCAATTAATATTCAGGTATATCGAGGAGAAATTGAGCTGATTTGGTTTAGTTATTTGATTTAATAAATCACTGGAGTGAGATGTTTATAGAGGTGTGAGAAGGTAATAGAAGGTTTAGAGTTTCTTTGTGAGATGATGGAAATGTTCTGAAATTCACAGATGTGAATAGGCTGCACCTATCCATGCATATACTAAAACACCAACGTGTACACTTTCAAGGAGTAAATCGTATATTATGTGAATTATATTTCAATAAAAACCTTTATAAACAAAGATTGAATATTTGGTGAAAATTGAAGATAGAAAAGAAACTATTTATAAAGTTTTACAAAAGGACAAAATTAGTAGGGCCAGAAATAGAGGGGATATGTGATCAGGATAATTTTTTGTGTGCTTTTTTTGGTTATTTTAAAAAATCATATATAACATGAGGAGGAAACAGCAGACATTCATGGAAGAATATTGTTTAGTTACAATAACATGTGGGTCCAGAAAAAGGCCTATTAATAAATACATCATTAGTGAAATTAACTACTTGGTCGTTAAATGTATATCCATTTTAACCCATAGTAATTTGGACTAAGAAAGTCCTACTAATTTCCTTAAGCAACTTTTTTTGAAAAAAAAAAAAAACCTGAAATGAGCTCTCATTCTATTACGTAATGTGGGATTTAGTTAATTTTATCTGGGTGCTTCATTATAAATTTCCATCAATGTCTTCAACCTCCAGTTGCAAAGCTGAGTAGATAATTGTAGTATTGCATTTGTTATTGTTAGTATAGTTACTTCAGTTTGGTGTAGCACAGGATTAGAATTTGAATCATGGTTCCAGTTGTTCTTCTGTAATGACCTTGTTCAAAAACCTCATGTTTCACAACAATACTTATCTATCAGTACATTAACATGTATCTTGATTATTTATAGAAATGTTAAATGAAAATGGTGTATGGAGAGCAGCCCCCCTTTTCCCATATGTCCAATACACTCTGTAGTTTTATTCACTTTAGACACATTTTTGTAAGTAACACCATGTAAACAATTTTCTCAGTGTGTTTGTGCTCAGTCATTTCAGTCAAAATCAACACTTACTTGATAAAAATGCAATAGTCTAATTAAGGTAACCTCTATTTTAAATCAAATTTTTGCTTTGGAGTTACTAATAGAAGATAAAAAAGGAATTTGTTACTATACCCATGAGCTGTTTAGTACCTCAGAATATTACCTTTAGTTGAGAGAGATAACTTTAAGAAACTCATTTTTCATTTCCTGAGAGATGTAATTATTTAACTCATTAGCAGGTGTCAAACTGACTGCTAAATTTTGGTGAATCATACTAAGTAACTAAAATTTGAATATTTTTTCCAGTTCCTTCCTTCAGAATGCCAACCTTGTGAACTGAGAAATGATACAGGACAATAAGTTTGTAGCACTAATGGATCTTCTTTTTTAATGCAAAAAGAGTAAACTTAAAACATTTCTTATCAAAGAAATTCAATTCATCACAGCAGGTTTGAAAATGTGGTGCAATGTGAGTTTTACAAAAAGCTAATATTAAAGCTCTCATTAATCTCTCATCTATGATAATAGAAATTCCAAAAGTCCTTGAAATATGTTACTGCCTCTAAAAGTATTACTTATAAAACTATTCCTCATTTAAAAATGTACTTCGTGTACCTGAACTCAACCCAGCACGGTTATCTGGGGTTTCCTGGATCAGCTGGTTTGCTTTCCTCAAACAGATGCTTTAAATTAAAATTCACCTTGGCTTTGCATGAGGAAAATGTGGTTTTGAAAATGCTCACAGAAAAACTCTATTCAATAGAGCAAGTGTCTGTAAAATCTTTCAGCAGAATTCTAGAAGTATAAATTTAATAGGACTCTTTTTTAAATATTTTTGCTAATAATTTTCTTTTTTCAGTAACTTTCCAAGTTAGATATAGATTTTGTCATGCTGAATAGTATGGAATTTTGTAAGCTATCTTAAACATTTTTTACAGAAAGTAGGAAGTGTTCAAAATATTTCACATTCAATTGGTTATATATTTCACCTAATGTCATAGAAATTTTCCCAGTATTATTGAAACCTTTCATAAATATTGCCTTATTTAAATAATACATAGTTACCTTCTTCCATGATTCCATTTTTGTGCACTATTTTGATTTTTATTCAGCATATTGCCAATTTGCTGTTATTATAGACAACTATGAGATTAACATTATATGTAAATCTTAGAAAATACTTCAGGATAGAAGAGAGGTATTAAAAATAAAATTTCCATATGAAAGTTTTGTTTCCTACATTAGAAGGAAGCATTCTTATCACCAGAGACAGGGATCAATACTAAAAGAATTCTATACTAATCAACCTTGTTAAAATAACTCTTACTTTTTCTAAAATTTCTTCATATATTTAATCTCTGCCCACAATTGCTGTTTTTGTTCAACCTAGTATAAAAGAATTTAGATTTTACTACTACTTTGAGTTTTCTTTTCCATATTAATGATCCTATATTATGTAAAATGAATATTTAATAAATCTCAGGTTTTTCTCCTCTTAATCAATCTTATGTCAAATTAATTCTCAGGGCCAGATGATGATCCTAAGAGAGTAGAGATAAAACTTTTTGTTCTCTAAAATTCCTTAATCCATCATTTTCTGTCTTTGAATTAAACTGCAATGTTATTTTTAAAAACTTAGTTGAGAATTTAAAGATTAAGAGGATCTTACAAAGCAAGTTGAATATTTTAAAGCACGCTTTTTAAAATAGGGATCATAGTGCCTAGAAGAATTTTTAAAATGAGATTCAGGAGGCCTATTAACCTCTTGGACTTGCAGCATAATTGGGCTTCCATAAGTAAGAAAAGAATCCAAAGTTTTGATAAAACAAAACTGAATGGGATCCCAATGGAAGCTTAAAATTATGGCTCCAGAAATGCAGCAACTGAAACAATAAACATCCCAAAATAGAAAATTTCACCAATGTCTGCTTTGGTAGAGGGGCTGGGGTTGTGGCTCAGCAGTAGAACACTGGCCTAGCATGTGTGAGGCACTGGGTTCAGTCCTCAGCACCACATAAAAATAAATAAAATAAAGGTATTATATCCAACTACAACTAAAAAATAAATATTAAAAAAACTTGGTTGATTAACATAATTTATTTTTGGCAATTTCATACTTCCAGTAAGTTAACTGGGCTCAGATGGACATTTCATCCCTGGTTGACATCAGATGGCAACTGACTAAATTCATCTGAAATCTTTTCTGGGCTGAACATCTAAGATAGCTTATTCTTGAGATTAGAAGACAGAAAGATCAGGTGATGCTGTCAAACATAACACCTACACAAGATCATTCCATTTAGCTTGGATCTTTACAGCTTCATAACTGGGTTCTCAGAAAGAGCATCTGACATTAAGCTACAGAAGCTGCCAGTCTGACTCAGGATAAATCTGCAAGAAGCACAAGACCTTCCCCCGATGTAGTATCTGTTGGACAAGGCAATCACAGGACCCTCCCACAGTGAAAAATAAGGAGAAATAAACTTCACACTTCGATGGAGGTAAGGCAACATCTCTAGAAGTCTCTAGAAGAGACTTTGGGATGGGAGATGTTGTGACTAATCCTTTGAAAATAAAATTGCCCATAGTGTTTACAAATACTTAACTTTTATGTATATATGAATAAGTATATATGAGAAATTAAATTACATGTGTAATATTTTGTATAAAAAAGACCAGGCATTGTGCTGAGGCACACAAATCAATATTATTAATGTTATCATTATGACTACCATATCAAAGAAGTACTACAATATGACCATTACACAACTGAGAAAATTGGGACTCAGTTATGTTTTTAAAACTTATCTATATTGCAGGGTTAAACTGATCAAATGTTATATGCATAAACCAATATGCCACAATGAAACCCACCATTCTGTGTAACCAATTTGCAACAATTTATAAAAAAAGAATACAAGTTATTTTAAAACTTGCCCAAATTTACACATTTAGTATGTATAAGACAGCTAGAATATAAACTCTTTCAGTATATACTTTTTTATATGGCTATATTGTGTTTTAATCAAACTTTTAAGATGCATCTTTCAATAGATTATTTTATACAAAAATGGAATACTGGAATACCGAATAAAAGTTAGCTGGGTACAGTGGCGCACACTTGTAATCCCAGCAATTTAGAAGTTTGAAGTAAAAAGATAATAAGTTTGAGGCCAGCCTCAGCAACTTACTGAGACCCTGTCTCAAAATTAAAAAAAAAAAACAAAAAAAAACTGGGGATGTAAATCAGTGGTAAATTTCCTCTGAATTTAAGTCACAATCCAAATAATAATAATAATAATAATAATAATAATAATAATAATAAAAACAGAATTTAGTGTTTATACAAGCACCTAAAATAACAAAAATGTTTAAAAACCACATCGGGAACCATACATTCCCAAAATATGTTCTTTTTTTATTTTTTCATTTTCTTTTTTAGGATTCAAAAAAAAAAAAAGGACACTGAAGTACAACAAATGTTGGATTACAGGTATTTTGTTTAGTACATCACTATTGTTAAAATACTTGAAAGTAAATTAAAGCTATGGTTCCCAAACTAGAACACATATTATCATAGGGAGGAATTTCAGATAGCTCAGTGATTTCTAAGGTTTCAGGGCCTTCATACTAGCCCAGTATTTCAGTATTGAACTTGTAACTTGCTTCTATTAAATTTTTAAGGCAGATGTGAAGGAATTTTGCCGATGTACATAATGTACTTGTTTAGTTGACTCTAGGTTAATTAAAAGGGACATTATCTTGGCTAGACCTAACCTAATTAGGTGAGCCCTTTAAAAGAGGTTCCATAGATAAGCCACACAGTATCAAAGGTGATCTCTTTCCTGATAGTCCTGGAAAAGCAAGGTGACACAAGTTCAGGGAGATGAATCCTGCCAACAATGATGTGAACTAACCGGAGGACCTCAAGATTCTCAGACGAAACTACACTTTTATTGCAATTTTTTAGAGTCTGAGCAGAGAATCCATTTATGCTATGCTCATACCCTGACCTATGGAGAATGTGAGATATTGAATAAATGTCATTTTAAGTCACTAAGCTTATGATAATTTGTTACGCAGCAATAGAAAATAGATACATGTGGAATGTGAATATATTCAATGTCACCCCTTGATAAAAATGATTTAACTTACAAGAAAGTTATATATATTTACACAGACTTTGGAAAAGAAAAACTATCCTTGAGAGAGAGAGAGAGAGAGAGAGAGAGAGAGACAGAGAGACAGAGAGAGACACAGGGGGGACTCCTTTATTGATTAATTTTAGGTGTTGCAAATAAAAGGATGAAATAAAACTCCTTCACCCTCAAGGCAGTTCAACTTTGACTTATGTGTCCTTTAAAATATATTGTGGATACTCACTCACCTAGAAGATACCCTGAGCACTGTTTGGGGATGCTATGAATAATTTTAGTGGGATACACCTCATATGTTTAGATCCATCATTATGAATTAACTGGCAATTGCTAGATTTATGAGCTACAGCAATACTGAAATAAAAATTAGTCATGTAGGATTTCAAGCAGCGTGATGAACTTGGTGTTAAAAGTTTAGACTCCAATGTTGAACCCTCATGGCTGTCTTGGATGCCACAGAGAGTTGATGTTCCCAAAATCCATGCAGTGCAAAACATGGAATTTCTCAGGAAGCTGCATGTATCTACTTGGGGCCCACAGATGCCAAGGCTGGAATGTTTATCTTCTCCTAACCTCATGAGGAGGGAGTCAGTGTGCAGCCCCTCCCAGAGGACCTGAGTTTATTTACAAGTGCAAATAATATGTGTTATAAAGGTTGGAGATAAGGAAATCCACTTGGAGAGATCAGAAGCTATCTCCAGCTCTCTCAGCAGCTGGTGGCAATGACTTCTTGCTTTGATAATTTTCTGATCATAAGAAAAGCTGTGGTCGATAGGACTTGGGATTCATGTGAGTCTTTTTGACAGTTTACCTTTTATGCTATGAAGGTTTTACCTGGTAAAGTAAGAGTAGATTTCTCAAAGGTAGTTTTTGTAAATGAAAGTTTAAATCAAATTAGTCCAGGACCTTCAAAAGATAGCAATCCAGGGATTACTGAATTCCAATATGGCTGGTTTAATAAGCTATATGAATTCTGGTAAATTTTCCTAATAAACATTGAATGATAAATACTATGTAAGAAATATAATTTTGAAGATGCCAATAAATTGATGGTTCAATTTAATAATCAAACACAAGCACATTAAACAAATTGTATTGTTCCATTTTTATTATTAAAATTTTAAATAGAAAAATATAGCATAGTGTGAGTGTATGGGGGATGGTTTTATTAGTGGATACATGAGGTCATGTAATAACTATAAAAGATGCTGCAGCATTGTACATCAATATGTTCAAAATACAATAATTTGACTTGTTAACTTTGCTTTGAAAAATATATTACAAGGATATAATCTTGGATTTTTTTCTCTTCAAAAATAAAACAATGCATTAAATATCTCTAAGCATCAATCAAGGAAACTCTCTTTCCTAGAAATGCTTGCTTCTAATTCCTACCCAAAGATCAACAGTGTCATCCCAATACCTTAATAGGGGCAGTTACATAACTCCCAGTCTATCTCTTTCCAAGCAATGTTCCTGGCTCATCTAATTCCTTCTCATCTTCTATTAGTGTGCTTTTATAGAAATGAGATCAGATAGTGTGTCTATTTAGCCCTAATGAATAGTGCATTCTTTGGAACATTATATTACCTAAATGAATGAAAGTAAACCTATACCTGACTCCTCATACTAGGAAAGTTAGATGTATGGTTTACATTTTCTTCACATACATTTTATATTTGAATTTTAAAATAGTTCTTTTGTCTTTAAAAATAAGCACCTGAAATTTGTTGAAATAACTGAGAATTTCATTTTCCTTTTATTGTCTGTACAAAATGAAGCTGGGAACAAATTCTTATGGTGAATAGAAGCTTGAATATGTCATATGCTAAAGATGTGTGTTACTCTCCAAGTAATCAATAAATGGAGCCAAATTTTTGTTTGATTATTTGTTTTTTAATTAGCCTGGTTGAAGTACAGTCAACAACCTTCTGCCTCTCTGAAGTGGCTTAGTGAGTTCATTTGGGTTTTATCTTAGAGTAAAATTTTTTCTAAAATTACTTGGGGATTAATTAGGGTTTTTTTAATTAGAAATTTGCTGTTGATTTTGGGGAGAGTGTAGGAAGTTCTCAGCTGCCTGAGGCCATATCCAGAATCGTGATAGAATCATATTTGCCCAAAGGTGTACAATTTTGATGTTTATGTTGTCTTGATGGTTTTTGAATTTATGAGCAATGAGACAAAGGAGGATGAGGATAAGGGTGACCTACCAAATCTTCTGTTTTCATTATTTTTATATCCAATCTAAATGCTTATTTGAATAATGTTCCTTGGCATTTTCAAATGAATGTAAAACCATAACACTTGACAAGAATACATCAATATTCCTACTTAATATTGAGGTAGGAAATAATCTGTAAACACACACACACACATACACACACAGAGAGAGGATGATTTGAAAGAATTGAGGGCTGACTGAAATTCTATCTCAGACTGAATATCACTTTTATGATGCATTTTAAGCAGAAATGAATGAATGGACAGTTAATATGTCAATGAAAGATGTATCCAACACACAAAGATATAGCAAAAGAAAATACACATTATGTGTGAAGTGGCTACTTCCTACTGAACATGTGTCCAAAATGTTTTAAATTTATTTAAAATAAAATTTACTTTTGCAGTTTACAGTTATGTATGTTGACAAATGTGAATCTGTCTTTTAAATTGCTTTTTAGCCATTGTAATTCATGTGTAGCATTATCTCACTACAGTTTAATTTATATTTCTCTAATGAATCATGATGTTGAACACCTTTTGAATGTTCTGCTATTCATATATCTTCATTGGTATATTTGTGTACAAATATTTGCCCCCTTTTTACTTGATTGTTTATTTTCTTAATGTTGAGTTTTGAGGATTAAGTATTCCTGATATAAGCCCTTTCTCAAGTAGATGATTTAAAAATTTTCTGTCACTGTGTTGTTTTTATAAAAATTACCTTAACACATTTCACAGAGCCAAAGTTCTCATTTTGATGTGATCTAATTTATCATTATTTTTCTTTTATGGGTAGTGATTTTATTGACATATCTAAGATATATTTGCCTAACCCAGAATGATAAAGATTTTTCTTCTATGTTTTCTACAAAAAGTCTTATAAACTCGAATTATATTTTAGATATATGACTCAATGTTAGTTAATTTTTAACTATTTAAAGTTTATCTTTTTGCTTGTGTGTATCTTCTACACTGAGCCACAGCCACAGCTCCTAACATCATCCCATTGTATAGCACTATGATTTCAAAAGATACTTCCACTCATTTACCTCACCCTTTTGTAAAAAATCAGTTTATATTTCTGTAAGTTATTCTTGAATTCTCTTCTGCCTCATTGATGA